GCCTGTAGTGGCGACCCGCGACCATGGAGATATAAACAGCTTTTTATAAGGTAAAAATAATAAAACAAGGTCTTTGTCTGCAATGATTAGGCATATTTTTTATTATTGTCATTAGTGATTATCTCAATTTCGGCTAAAAGAATTGACAAAATCCAACAAACTGTTCCTTTAATATTACTCTGTAGAAACTTGATTCCACTTTGACAGGAAAGATGTTTTCTTTTTATTAAAAAAAAGGCCAATTCATATAGAACATGAATCATTTATAACAGCAAAAACAGAGTAAACCATCCAAGGGAGTGAATACTTTTTATAAGCGCAATACAAGTACACAGGGACTTGTAAATTGGTAACACAATACCCAGCTCTACTACAGCAAAGATCAGGACAAAGACTTCATATGGATGTCAACATATGAAAAAGAGAACTTCTCAAATGTTTTATACAGAATGTAGCTCATTGAATGATTTTTATTAATGGTAATAGTAAATTGTTGTTTTTTTTCCTAAAGGTGATGCTGGTTTCTCTTTGTGCTGGAGGGGTTGGACTTAATCTCATCGGTGGCAATCACCTGTTCCTCATTGACATGCACTGGTAAGATTCATGCAGGCCTGCAGAAAACTGTTGATTTATGTTTTAGATGACTTTATTTTGTTCTTTAAGAAGCCAGACGTGTTATCACTGTTCATTACAATGTTATTTTCTGCCGTTCACTGTCACTGTCTCTGAACATGTTACTAGCAAGAAAACATCTGTTTACATGTAAAGTTTATTTTGAGTGGAAATTAACACATCTATTTTTTTTATTTGACCCTTAAATTTAGGCTTTAACACAAAAAAAATGCTCATCTGTCTTGTATGTGAAACAAATTCAAACAGATTGAAACTGTATTTTTTGCTTTTTTAAAAGAATAATTTATTTAAAATATGCAAGCAAATTGTTRATCTGTAGGCTTTCAGTATAGAAATGTCAGGTTTTTTGATACCTCTGAAATAATCCAACAGGAACCCAGCTTTGGAAGATCAGGCCTGTGATCGGATCTACAGAGTGGGACAAAGGAGAGACGTCACCATTCACAGGTAGAAATTCAGTACCTCACTGTTACAGACATCATACCATGCTATAAAGTGATGAGATAAAACAGGTCAAATTTCACTATGTCGGCAAAAACATCCAATAAATCAAAGAAAAAGGCATCTTAATTATGTATCGTCTTTCTGTTTACTACTAAAAAAGCCACTTGTCATGAGTATATAAATACTGAAAGTTTTTGCACTAATTTTTGTGCGGTAAATGCCAACAGATTTGTGTGTGAAGGCACGGTGGAGGAGAAGATTTCCACACTGCAGTTTAAGAAGAAGGAACTGGCCCAGAATGTGCTTTCAGGAACAGGAAGCACGGTCTCCAAACTCTCGCTGGCTGATCTCAAAATTATTTTTGGTGTTTGAAAGATGAGAGTATTAAGGCTGGTGCCACCCTTTTAAACCCATAGTTATTTGTGTTTATCTATGTTTGCACGTATTAAAATGCACATCTGGAAAATCTCGGGGGGGAAAAAACAATGACTGTGGTAATAGAGGTTGTAAGGTTGCCAGGAGTGGAGTTTTACTTTAAATATATTTGCAGATGACTGCATACTTTTTGTGTCCTCTGTTTATGTTCAAAATGTTTTGAATGAATAAATAAAAGTAATTGAACTTATGAAAAATAGCAGCTTGTCTGAGTTTCTCTGATGGACCTGTTTTTTCTGCAACCCAACCACAGATAAGTGCTGGGGCATGGATGGATGGATATTGCAATTGTACTACATTTTTCTTGAAAATAAAGTTTAATTTTATATTTGTGGATTTGTGCCTTTTTAGTTCTATTGGTTTTACTTGGACAAACCATAAGATTGAATATGCTTTCATGAAACATCGAAATTTGTAATATTCAACTTTTCATATAATGAAATGGACTGTTGTCATGACAGTAGTATGACTAAATTTAGTTTCACATTACATGTTGTATCATGTGTTAATGAGAAAGGTCTGAAAGCATAACTCTTCCATTGAGGTAAAACATTTATTTAACAGGCTTGTTTTCTCTGTATACTATATAATTACCCTCATGATTTAGATTGTCTTCATTAGTTTGACTAGAATTGTTTATTATCTCAAAATATATAAATTTGTCTGCAAACATTTTGATAAATTGAAAGTAAAAAAAAAAATGTCAGTCATGGATTTAAATGAAATTTGTAAAAGTCTGTACACATCTCACGATTCCGAGTGAGTTTGAACGCATCATGATGAGAATGGGCGGTAGCTGCTCTGCACTCCACTACAGAGCTGACACTACAACCGCCAGGTGCGCGAGCGCGTTTCACCTCTGTCAACACGGCGGGCTTACCGAGTGCTGATTAAAAAAAAAAACGGTTCCAGTTTAGTTAACTATACAATTTAGCAGCCATGGCGGCTGAAACGGACAAAATAGAACCTGCAGAGAGTGAACAGGACGAAGAAGAGGATGTATACGAAGTGGAGAGGATCATAGACATGCGGGTTGAAGAGGTATGCTAACTGCTAAGTAGCTGCCGGGCTAGCTGGGCTAAAATATGGCTGGCATTTTATTTCTTCACTAATGACGCATAGCCCACCTACAGCTGCGGTCAGGTCCTCCAAGAGAACAAAACACTTTTCTAAAATGCATTTCGAGGACATATCGATGCAATTAACTGTACTTGGGTCTTATTGGAGACTTGTTTAGGTTCGCGATGCTTTTCTTCGTCGCATCGATTTAACTTCTCCCATGATGTCCGCTCGCCTCTCCCCTGCTGAGGCCAAGGACGGACATTCTGCACCACCGCATGCTTTCAACCATGGCCGCTGCACATCCGTGCAAGATCATGAAAACAACGATTAATGTTGTCGTGCATAAGACAATTTGGCGTAAATGTGCGTTTTGCTTATTATTTTTTCCTGTTTTTAGGAATGGAACGGGTTAGCATTGTGGTTGCAGTAACTGTACAACAACAGATGTTAGCCTAAAACAGCTAATGCTTTGCTCACATCTTGGGTCGCGTTTTTCTTTTGTAAGAGTATAAACAGGATTGAGATGGATAGCTTAATGGTTAATATAGAATTGTATCGTCCCCAGAGTGAGTTTACTACAATAATATATTGATTAAATTACTACTAGCACATCTTACGACACTGCCCGTGCTATCCCTAACTGTGTGTAGTAGTGTGTGATGACGCTGTAGCGGGAGGTGGAGTCGGGATATCAGCTAACAAAAGAGCAACACAGAGGATGGAAATATAAGATTAGATTAACATGGCGAGTTTTGCTAACCTCAGGATCACCTTAACTTAAAATAAACAATTTTTTGCAACATCATCATCTATTTTCCTAATGTAGTATCATTACTACATACGATTCATTGTGTTCTGTCTACATTTAGAAAAAGACTGAGACTTAAGTAGATATGTTTGTCCTATGCAGTTGAAACTGTTCCAAGTTTGGTAGATTAAAAATAAAATATAAAAGTACCCTCTTTAGGCTCGAACAGGGATCTCCATCTTCTGCTAACGGGTCCATTTAATTTCAGATTTTTATCCGTTTCTGTGACTGTTCAGAACATAGGCATTAACCCTCTTTTTTTTGTTTTGTTTTAAGGGTGAAGTGCTCTACAGAGTTCGCTGGAAGAATTACTGCTCTGACGATGACACATGGGAGCCAGAGGCTCATTTAGAGGACTGCCGTGAAGTCCTGTTGGCTTTTAAGAAGCATCTGACTGAGGCTAAAGCCAAGAAAGAAGCTGAATCCAAGAAAATTGTGGTAAGTCCAAAAGACCGTCTGGTTTAGTGAATGCTGTTACTTAGAGTAGTGGTCCTCAGGGCCCACTTTCCTGCATGTTTTAGATGTTTTCCTGCTTTTCAGCAGGTTTTTTAAGTTTTCAGAAGCCTATCAGTCATTCATTCAAAACAGGTATGTTGAAAGAGAGACACAAATAAAACATTCAGGATAGTGGCCTTCATGAACTAGAATTGAGGATATATATATA